TGTTTAATACTGTTAGATGTGATACATGTATATAGGTGTGTTATTGCTGCCGTGGTCTCTGATTAGTAGAATGTTTAATACTGTTAGATGTGATACATGTATATAGGTGTGTTATGGCACTGCAAATGCTAATGCAGCAACCATTTTCTGATGGACAGAGAAGACGACCACCGTAAATTGGTCTCTGATTGGTCAAAATCTTGAAATTGTTTCACTGCAATTTGAAACAACTTCTGTTTCGCTATTGGACAACATGGGACATGGCAGGGCTTTCCATTGGTCATTATTTGTGATATAGTTTCTATTTAGATTAAACTTGGTATGTAAGTGTATTGTGCTTCTGTGAACCGTGACTTAAGCGGGTCCATTCATCTGATAAAATGGTCACTGTTGTCTGGCTTCGGACAGGTCAAAGGTTGTTTCCCTGTTTCGATAGAAATCGGTATGTATGTGTATAATTGCACTATATACTCAATCATTACTTCCTTTGGAAATCGGACAACTTGCTTGTCATTGCTTGGCTTCTGTTGTTATTCATATGTTATAATCATGTATTATAATCATTATACTCAGTCGAGCAAGTTACACAGGGAACACACAAAACCAGTAAATGTGTAAAAACGTACACAAGAATATACGTTTATTGAAAATAAATATTAATTTATTTTTGTCATGATTATGACCATAACGAAATATGTGCAAATATATACGTTATATTGTTTTATTCCGCCGATATATTATCCATCAGGAACACCTTTGGTTTTACTAGGATGGCATCACAATAGACAACTTATAGAAATGTTTGACATGTAACATAATCCAGTGTAATATATAATTACATAATATTTCGGTAAAAAAAGCTTCTTTCAACCTAGGGTAACAAGATGTATTGATTATTTTCAGATTGAAAGTTACCGTAATAATATATAACAATGGAGATCGATACGAAAGTATTTGAGGAAGAAGATTTGTTAGACCCTGAAGAGAGGGAGGAAGAACAAAAATGGGCGGAAGAGTTCCGAAAGCGTCAGGAAGAAATGTCCCGACAACGCCGAAAGTATGAGGAGAGGAGGTAAGCATTGTTCTTTCAAATGCAGTGTATGTTACAAAGATTATTTTATGTTTTTACTCATAACGAAGTCTATTTGACCGATTGAGAACATTATAAACACTAGTCCGAATTTTTTTCTTATTTCAATACTAAAACACACGCTAATCCCACGATTACTATAACGTAATACATCCACTAGACACTACCTCAGAAATACATTGTTTTGTATAGGGTTGATATGACTGCAATTCATGCACTAATCAGATACACATAAATCATGGTTGACACTACAGACACACGCCTAGTAAGCATGGTTCCCACCAAAGACACAAATGCAGAAACTACATTTTCTAGCAAAGAAACCCATACAGTAACCATGATTGATACCACAGTAAAATACCTAGTAACCAGTCCACGGTAACCACGGTAAACATCATAGCATTACGTATAGTTCTCATGGTTACTACCACAGAAACACGCAAAGTAGACATGGTTACTATCACAGATACACATACAGTAACCATGGATACTACCACAGTCACACATACAGTAACCATGGTTACTACCACAGACACACGTACAGTAACCATGGTTACTACTACATACACACATACAGTAACCATGGTTACTACCACAGACACACATACAGTAATAATGATTTATACTACAATAATATACGTTATAATCATGGTAAATAGCATTGGATTACATGCAATGCCCTTGGTTAATACGACAAAATCACACCTAGTAACCAAGATTACTTCCACAGAAACACGCGTTACGTGGTTTAAATCACAGAATCACATGTAATAACATATTTATATATATAATGAGAAAGATAAATGTCTAAAACATCTCTTAATATTGATTCTGTTGAAATGACATTTTGATCGAGTATCCTTATGATTCGTTTATACTTGTTGGGCTATGTTTAAACATTCACTTCATAGTAGTATACTGTGGCTTGGTAGGTCTTCCTCCGTATGTTGTATCGGGGCTTTAGGTAGTTTTCTAGGCGATCTGTTTATCATCCGATCTTTAAATGAAGTTTACAGAGAAACGACGTCAATGCACCTTCAAACCCTTGTTATACCGCTGATATTTATTTAGTAACAACCCATTTCTTTTTGGATATACAATAAAAAAAACTGGTTATCCAAGTATTGTTACGAAAATCGAAGTGTCCAGACTAACGAGATATAACGTGGTGGAATACGTCGCAATGACCTCGATTCTTATATATTTATTATACCCTACCAGAAGGATCAAAGTTAGTTAAACATTAGCTAGTATACAATGTCTCTATAAAATACAACGTAGTTAAAGACACTACGTCCGAGGTCTT